TCTCTCTCTCTCTCTCTCTCTCTCTCTCTACTACCTGCTCCATTAGTCCAGCAGATTATTTATTTATTAGTATTCCATTAAGCCAACACCGTGGCAAGTGCACTGCAGGAAAAGTACAGACCTTTTTTTCACATAAAAAATGAGACAATGCAGACAGTAACAGAGTCAATTCATGTTCATTTAACATATATCAGCATTATGATATTGGCCGTCATGCATATCTGCATGAATTGTTTAAACAGAGATGTTTGGTACTCTAGCAAGTAGATGTTTGTACAAGTGAGAAAAAGGTCCCACATTACAGAAAAGGAAGCTCAGGTGAACACACACACACACACACACACACACACACACACACACACACACACACACACACACACACACACACACACACACACACACACACACACACACACACACACACACACACACACACACACACACACACACACACACACACACACACACACACACACACACACACACACACACACACACACACACACACACACACACACACACACACACACACACACACAGACTCCCAGCTAAAGAGCTTGGTCAGGCGGATCAAGTGAGGCAGACAAACAAGGCATCTTTGTCTGATGTGATTATTAACAAAAGGTTTATTTGCCAATTGTGTGTGTGTGTGTGTTTGAGACATTCTAAAAAACTCACGCAACAGTGAGCATGGCTCTGTTGGTGAGCAATTAAAAAGTGATGTAAACACAGCAGACACACAAACACACACTGTGTGTGTTTGTTCAGGAAATCTTTTGATTTGTGACTACACACCAGGAGAACCAACACACACCGGCACACACACTTACAGTGAACTCCCCGGTGACAGCATCAAAGCCCACATGGATGGTGTGTTCAAAATCAGACGGCAGAGAAATCTCTGGACGCTCCTTCTTCTTATAGGCTGAAAGAAACAAAACAACAGTCATAAGAACGATGTGGGGTTTTGTTACAAGCCGGATCACACTTGTTAAATTCATTTCAGGATAAAGGATTATCCTTTTTCTTCTAGAATAAAGGGCTTACAAGTGGCAAGGTGCAAATGAACCAATATGAAGATCATTATGAGGCTTTAGAGAGGAGCACAGTAGATAGTTGCACAAATCCAATAATAAAAATAATTGTGAAAACAGTCCTTAATGTACGGTATAGTTAGGCCTTGTTAGCAACACATTAAGTTGACGAAACACTCGAGTCAAATGTAATTAAAGTCAGATCGTGTCTTGGACGGGGCAGTGATTTCATAAACCTGTTAATGTACGCATTCAAACGCTTTTTCTGTTACCAGCTGTATTCACCTTGCAGGTGCAGCTATGTGGCTTTTATCCTGGGTAAAGTGTTTAAGTCATGGATGTTTAAAGTTTAACTTCTTCATATTTGACTAATATTAAAGTTCACTTTTCATTCAGGAAGTATGACGCTGCGCTGTCAGTACGCTTGTCCATGTTTGTGATTGGTCGAATGCTCCAAATACCACCCCTTTCATGTGAACGCGCACCTAACTAGATAGGACACGGCGGCTTGAGTTAACGAGTTGATAACCAGCGTCGTAGGACAGTTTAGCGAGAGGGCGTTTGTTTTGGATTAGGTAAGCCGGGTAACTCAAACATATCCAGGTTAGGTTGAACCGGCTTCGTAGTACAGGCCTCTGGAAAAGCTAGGAGACAGAAAAGAGGAAGAGGAGGATGAGACGAAGGAAAGCGGAGAAAGAGGACAAACAGAGACACAGGAGACACCGTGTGCTGAGGTCCTCCACTGAGAGACAGCAGATCCCTCAAGATGACTAATGAGCTACCAGCCTCCCACAAAGCATCATGGGTAATCTGTCTCGGTTAAGAAGCCCACAGTGCTTTTGTCAACAAACAATAGGCATATGTTGTTTCTTAGAGATCATTTAGATCAGTGGTTCTCAACTGGTGGGTCGCGACCCAAAAGTGGGTGGACGGACCCGTTTCGAGTGGGTCGCAGATGTGTGAGTGAAGAAAAAAAAATGTTTTATTTTGAAGGCCCGATTTTCTAACGCTGTGCATGCAGTAGGCGTTGGACTGGAAGTACCGGAGACCATAAACGGTTTTGAAAACTTCTGGCCCGTAGTGATCATCTTCTCAATAAAATATCTTTGCTGATGTTTTTTCGAGTCTTCTGGCCAATCAGAATCAAGATTGTTGCCAGAAGTCCCCACGGAGAATAACTTTGCGGTAGAACTATTTTTTATACATCCATGGGTAGGGCTGTGCAATTAATCGTATTTTAATCGCAATTACGATTTTGGCCTGCCACAATTACGAAAACAACATAATCGAATTAAACAATTATTTTGCTTTGCTAGGTTGTGACAGTGCAACATATTTGATCTAATTAATTGTGGTCTAATTTATTTGTATTTATCATATTTTTATATATGATAAGTAGCTTTTGGAAGTGCGCTCCAAAATATTTGTTGATCTTGTTTATTGGTATTTATTATATTTGATATTATTCATTTAAAGTTTTTCAGTTGAATTATACGTTCAGGTTAATCAACAGTTATAAGATACTGTTCAAATGATTATTTGTATTTGTTTTAAAGTTCAATAAATGGATGTTTTCAAAGTCAATGAATAATCGTATTTAATAATCGTGATATCAATTATTGACCCAAATAATCGTGATTATTATTTTTGCCATAATCGCACAGCCCTATCCATGGGTACAACTTCAGATAAAAATGAACACGTAATGAAATATGACCCCCGGTTTGATGATTGACAGGTCACAGAGCAATGGGGGCTAACCCTTACCCACAATTTAAAGTAATTCATACAGACTATCTCCTCTTTGCTCTTCTCTCTGTGAGGAGTAGCAAGCTGTCAGAACTAAGTGAAAAACAAACAATGGCATTATTAATATGTCGGGTAGTAATAGATTTATTTAGTTTCTTCTTAGAGTGTACCAGAATGCGTAGTTTATATGTTAGTATTTCTAAAAATCTCCTGGGGGAGAATCCCCCCAGACCCGCCTTCCAGGGTTTGTATGTCATGTTTTTCACATGTGGTGAATTTGCAGGATTGGCTCCAAGTGTGCCTTTTTATTGAGTACAATACAAGTCTGCCTTTTTATTGAGTACAATACAAGTCTGCCTTTTTATGTTATTGTTTTGATAGATTTGAGTGGTTCAAAATGTCGGGTCGCGATTTATTGAAAAAGGAAAAAAGTGGGTCCCGAGGCCTGACCAGTTGAGAACCACTGATTTAGATGACAGAGAAAACATGTGTTTAGTGATGAGTTTACCAAAAACATGCTTTGCATATGGAGAACAAATGTAGCAAGGAAACATGAGTCATACTGAAATATCTATAACGTTTAAAGAATAGCATATTGAGCAAGGTTTATAATACGCTTATCTGCTTTCTTGAATGAGGGTAGCTGATAGCGCTCTACGGCCCCTGTTAGACCCCCACATAGACTGAAAGACCCCTGATGTGTAATAACACTGCCTGTAAATATAAAACGTTGTGCAATATACCCTCCAGCAATTTTACGTTAATTTCTTCAATTAATTTTTTGTTGTTTGTTGTTTATTTACAATTGGCACAGTACCAGCTAGCTCTTAATTCAATATGGTCACTTTTCTTAATAACAAATATACTACTACTTTTTTTTACCGTGATGTACATATCAGCTGTTTTGTTTTTTATTTATTGTGTTATTAATAACGTGTGCATACTTAGCCATTTTTTATATTTCTTTTCCTCACTTTATCTGCTGTTGTAATCATGTAAATCATGTGCTGTTTCATTACATGTATTTCTTGGCTTAGAACAAAGCAATAGAACATGATAGTGATAGGTAAAAATGTTAATATAAATCAATGAATTGATAAACCGATAATCTGTTTACCCTGAGATCAAACTGTAAATGTCATATTTTCAATAAATGTAGTCAGTAAGCGATTTGGTGGAGGAGGGAGTGGTTCAATTTGCTTCTCATTTCTTAACTCACTTTGTCACGGCTGAGATAACATCAGTAACCCAACAGATTTCCAGTAGCCTCAGAGTGTGATGCAGCGTCTGCTCCGACACACAGGAAGCAGGTCTGACTGTCAATTCAATTCAATTCAAAACCTTTATTTATCCAGATGAAATCCCATTGAGATCATTGATCTCTTTTTCAAGGGAGACCTGCAGCAGTAGGTTCTACTGTGTGTACTATTCATGGAGATATATATCATAGCTGCAGTATTTCTACACTATGTCTCATCCACTGATTGTGTGTGACTTTGAATGGCCCATGGAGAGACAATGTTTTTAAAAAAAGAAGGCCATAACTGGTGCAATTTTGAAATGTGATATTGATAAAGATAATGATGCATTTTGTGAATTTGGGAACAAATGACTGCCTGATACATTTCAAAGAAATAAGGTTATTCCCGCTAACAGTGATTTATTGAAAGAGTGCACGTTCTGTCACAAGGAACGTTCTCAAGACTTTCTTTATATAAAAGCCAAGCAGAGTCAGAACCACATCAAACCAATCGGTTCAACCCGGGTCAACCCGGGTCAACACAAGTCAATAACTTCCCCAGTCACCGCTTCACTAGTTTAAATGTGGCTTTGGTATTAACACAGCATGTAAAAACGTACTGTCACATGGATGAAGGTTTCAGGTTACTGTATTCTTCTGACATCAAAAGCTGGCTGAACTACTTTAAATCCCTGCTGTCTGGATGTTAGGTACAGCACAATTACATTTCAAATAACAGATCATGTATAACCTGAAAACAATCTCAACTTTTACATTTTTACAGGGATATTTCACTGCTTTAGTTCCCATCGCGCAAAATGTAGAAACCTGACTCTAGCTGGTCTATAAGGCTTTATTTAATTGGTCGAAACATCTAAAGGTTCATTAAAAGTGCAAAATATGCTGTATTTGTATAAACATCCCATGCATGTTCCCTCTCCTGTGTGTGTTAGAGGATGGAGGAGTTCTCCAGGGCAAAGGGAGCTCAGTACTACTCACTCTTATCGCCCCCCCCCGTCAGGATGAAGCGGATGGAACGGTCCTTCTTCTTCTTGTCCTCCGGGTTTGGTGGGAGGGGCTTGGAGCCGTGGTTGAGGGGGGCGGGGTCCTTGTTGCAGGAGCCAATCATGGTGCTGGTGTTCCTCATGGGCGGAGCAGGGGGCTTGTCCTCGACCTCCCCATTATCAGACATCCTTAGCTAGGCTGCAGCCGCTCCTGCTCAGAAACACACCAATCACAGGGAGGAAGGGTGAGAGGCGGGGAAATCATCAACCAATCACAGGGAGGAAGGGTGAGAGGCGGGGAAATCATCAACCAATCACAGGGAGGAAGGGTGAGAGGCGGGGAAATCATCAACCAATCACAGGGAGGAAGGGTGAGAGGCGGGGAAATCATCAACCAATCACAGGGAGGAAGGGTGAGAGGCGGGGAAATCATCAACCAATCACAGGGAGGAAGGGTGAGAGGCGGGGAAATCATCAACCAATCACAGGGAGGAAGGGTGAGAGGCGGGGAAATCATCAACCAATCACAGGGAGGAAGGGTGAGAGGCGGGGAAATCATCAACCAATCACAGCTGAGCACTCAGAAAACTCCATCAAATTATTTTATTTATAATTCTTTGTGTCCATCAGTAAAACCCTGATTTCAATGATAGAATAGTTGTATGTTTGTTCTATCTGTTTCAGAACTACGAGCGGTCATGTAGACGGTTTTAATCTGTTTTTATTATAAAAATTCTCCTTTTATTTATACTTTATTTTACTCTCAATTCTATATTTAATGTCTCTTTGTGTTGTCCTGCGTTTCTATTAATTACACGTACCTTCTGTGTCTAGTTAAGCACATTAAGTGGCTTTGCTGTTGAAGGTTCTATACATTAATATTATATTTATTAACATTACATATCAATAACATATTTAAGTTGAACATCTAAAAAGAGAAAGGTGGTTTCCATTTACTCACTGAGAGTGTTTGATCTACAAACATCATGGTGACTAAACCCTGCTGTGTGTGTGTGTGTGTGTGTGTGTGTGTAGGAGGGGGGTTAAGTGCTGACCTCTGGACTTTCAGCAGGTTAGCATTGTTTGTGTTTGTATGTGAGGGTGTGATCAACACGTCCCTCTGCCTCAGCTATGTGGTCAGGTCAGAAAAATGTGTGTGTGTCACATCTCTAGACCAGATATAAAGTTGCTCTTTTCTATCTCACAGCGTTTAGTACTGAGTCAGGACACACACACACACACACACACACACACACACACACACACACACACACACACACACACACACACACACACACACACACACACACACACACACACACACACACACACACACACACACACACACACACACACACACACACACACACACACACACACACACACACACACACACACACACACACACACACACACACACACACACACACACACACACACACACACACACACACACACACACACACACACACACACACACACACACACACACACACACACACACACACACACACACACACACACACACACACACACACACACACACACACACACACACACACACACACACACTTCTCAGTCCTCTTCATGTAAATCCATATGTAGAATATCCTGATCTTCCCCTGACATCACAGATGAAACCCAGAGGTGTCTCTCCTGCAGAGTTCAGGTCTGATGGACCTGAGGCAGTTTAGCAACATGTAGTTCATGTAGTTCTCCATGTCCACTTGTTGCTGATGGTTGTGGTAGAGGAGCTGTAGATTTTGCACTAAAATCTGTAGCATGGTCAGTAGCGTCTGGAGCACAAAAGCAACCCTGTGATCCGCCATTGTTGTTATTGGCGAAACACATCAGCAATGATCCGCAGATCTACCCACCTTGCGAGCCGTTATCGTTTAAGGGCTCCGTTTCCGCGGTTCCGTTAAGGCCTCGTGTGGACGAACCGTCCATACGATAGAGAACTGTAGCGGATACAACCCGTTTCGTCTACGTGTAAACGTGGCCTAAAGGTCTGGAGAGGCACATCCTTTCAGTTTTATATCACATCACTTCCATAATGAGTGAAGAGTGTGCAGCTTCACTGTTCGGACCGAATGCTGAGCTGAGGTTTTGATCTGCTCTGTTTACTAGAAATTGTGAACATTTCTCCAGCAGGGTATTTTTGTCTGTACTTAGTGAGTAAAGAAAAACATCACATTTTTTAATAAAATACTAAATGCACACTGAACTTAAAAGTTGGAGTTATGAGGAATAAGCCTCACTGTAAAATAAAATATATATTTTTACTATTTTTAAGAAAACATTACCAAAAACATCAGATCTACAAAACAATAAAAAAGGAGACTCATTAAGTTATGTTACCAGAAGTAACTTCTTTCTCTTTTTAAATATACAGATTCAACAGAAAGAGGTGGATTAAGAAAGTGAAGGTTCACACTGTTTCACTTGAAACACCTAACTCTGATATCGTCTCTTACCTTAGCAGACAAACATCTTCCAGCTTCTCAACAGATCCACAAAGAAACAACAGAGAGGAGAGAAAGCTGGACAGTGAGAGTGAAAGCAGAGAGAGACTGAGAGTCTGCTTCTGACCAATCAGACCTGCCGAACGCTGATGTCACAAGGTGAGTCACATGAGGAAGAGGGAAGTACAGCAGTGAGACTAACACCAACCCCTGAACACACAACAACACACAACTGAGTATTGTGTCTGCTGGGTAAAAAGATACACATACAGTCACACATACATACACCCACACACACACTCTACTGTCTCACACACACATGAAGAGGTGGTGTGTGTTTACAGCCATCACAAACAACTCATCTTCTTATTATAGACACATGCATTTCCAAACATTCGGTCTACCTACGCTGTAAAATGTATTATCTCTTACACACGGCATCTATTGCACGTCTGTGCGTCCTGGGAGAGGGATCCCTCCTCTGTTGCTCTCCCTGAGGTTTCTCCCATGTTCCCCTTTAAACTGTGGGTTTTTCTCTGGAAGTGTTTCCTTGTACGATGTGAGGGTCTAAGGACAGAGGGTGTCGTATTGTCATACTGATATTCTGCACAAACTGTGCTGTTATATTTGCTGTAAAGTGTCCTTACTGTAAGGTAATTATTATATGTACAGCACTTTGGCTCGACCAAAAATCGTTTTAAAAATGTGCTATATAAATAAAACTTTATTTGATTTTGATTTGAAACACTGTTAAAGGTAGGCGATGAGCCCTAGCTTAAATGTATGTATCTTTATACACACACACACACACACACACACACACACACACACACACACACACACACACACACACACACACACACACACACACACACACACACACACACACACACACACACACACACACACACACACACACACACACACACACACACACACACACACACACACACACACACACACACACACACACACACACACACACACACACACACACGTTAAACCTTATAAAACTACCTCTTTAAGCAGACAGTAACATAGATTGTTGTCAATCTTTAACACACACAACACACACACACTCAAAGGTAGACAGACACACAGTCACGCAAGACAGCAAATGTCTCAGATTTCAGACACTGCTGCCAGTTTCAGCAAAGACCTGTTATCTGACAAAGCAACACTGTCTGCTGCATGACACACACACACACACAAACAATTTTCATATCCAGTTCCAGTGTTCACCTCATGTTGTCTCTCTGTCTCTGGTCCCCCCCCCCCTCCTGAGGGAGAGATCTGCTCTGCTAAATGCTGCACTTTGTCCAGCAGCTAGTGTCTCACTGTGACTCACACACACCCACCCCTCCTGTCTGAAATCATACAGCATCAACGTACAGGCGGCTCAGTCTGTAGGGACTTTGCTTGGGAACTGAAGAAAAATACATAGTGTGGACTGGTAGCTGGAGACGTGCCAGTTCACCTCCTGGGCACTCCAAAGTGTCCTTGAGCAAGACACCGAACCCCTAACTTCTCCCTGGCGCCGGACAAACTGGCAGCCTTTGCTCTCTCCGTATAACAGAAAAACGCATGTGTTTGTATTTATGTATATATTCAGACCTAGTGTACAGCTCCTGCGCATGTGTGTGTATTGTACTGTGTGTAATCACAACTGAGTGAACACCTGCATTTCCCCTGGTTCATTTCCTTAAAAGAAAAACTTTTCATAAACTCTTTTTCAATTTAACTTGTCCATACACACAGGCCCGCCCCTGCCTACACGCAGATCACGCAGGGCCTCATCTTGCGGAGGGAGCCTCATCTGATGCGCAAATGCGCCGCACTTCAGTTTCCGCTGCGAGGCTCCAGCGCTCGCAGTTCACGCGCGTACTTCACTAGCACCCCGCGCCAGAGGGCCTCATCACATAACTTTGCGTGGGGCCACAAGTTGGCCAGGGGCAGCCGTGCAGCCTTGCACTGTTAAAGGTAGGCGATGAGCCCTAGCTTAAATGTATGTAACACACACACACACACACACACACACACACACACACACACACACACACACACACACACACACACACACACACACACACACACACACACACACACACACACACACACACACACACACACACACACACACACACACACACACACACACACACACACACACACACACACACACACACACACACACACACACACACACACACACACACACACACACACACACGCATTGTACAGAGACTTAGATTATACAAACACACACACACCAAGACAAGGTTACCATAACATGTCAGCACTTCTCCAAAACGCCATGTCAGCCTCTGCAGCCACATTTACTGGAAGAAGACTTCAACCATCCATGCATACATTAACCCTCTCTGACACACACACACATACATTAACCCTCTCTGACACACACACACACATACATTAACCCTCTCTGACACACACACACACACATACATTAACCCTCTCTGACACACACACAGGTTCCCTCTCTGCTGTGAAGCATTTAGCTGAGTTTGCAGACCCAGCAGGGGGGATCCGCCCATGGTAGAGCCTAGCAGAGCTCAGTGTGTGCGTGCGTGCGTGCGTGCGTGCGTGCGTGCGTGCGTGCGCCTGCTGCTACACACACAGGACACTCAGAACACACGTCAATAAACACCTCTATTTCTGTGTGTGTTGAGCGAGCCAGGAGATAAATGGGAGACACAAACAGGACAAAGAGACGGAGGCGCCACGCGGCCGCTGGCCTACCACACAACAAAAGGGGAAAAGGCGAGGAGTCAACTGCATGAGATTTCCTCTGAACCCTGAACGCACCATCAGCAGGGTGAAGTGCAGACACAGAGAGAGAGAGAGAGAGAGAGAGAGAGAGATATGTCAGCAGTCAACTCCAACATCATGTCGTCACGGTAACGAGACAAACCCCAAGGCCCAGACTTCAAATGTATATTTTAACATATTTTACACACCAGACAGCACACACACATTTTATATATGGATATGGACACATGTGCAAATCACGATCCGAACACACACACACACAAATATTGAAAGCCACCTCACAAAAGACTCAAGCTTCTCTTTTTTAAGTGAATTATAATTATGATAGTGCTCTGTGTGCGTGAGGTTCCATCTTCAAAGACTCTCGGGCGTGGTCGGGATGTGTGTGTGTGTGTGTGTGTGTGTGTGTGTGTGTGTAGGTGTGAGAGAGAGAGAAAGAGAGAGACAGATATAATAATTGATAATCAAGGAGAAAATGAGGGATGGAAGGAGAGGAGAGGAGGAGAGGGTGGGGGGTTGGTTATATTCTGCCTGGTTGGAATAGGGCGAGAGACAGAAAATGGAGAGAGATATAGAAAGACAGAACGAGAGAAGTAATAAGTACAGTAGAAAAAGAGAGAGGATGCAGAGGCAGTGTGTGACCAAATAACAGACTGTATCTTAGAATGAGGCGTGTACACACACACACACCCACACACACACACCCACACACACACACACACCCACACACACACTTCAGATTTCTGTGGAGTGTTCAGTGCTGCCAGAGGGAGAGTGAACTGCAGAGGTGTGGTGAAGAAAGAGCATAATCGGCACGTCTGAATCCCTCTCATTTTACCCATAATCCTTTGTGTTTTAGGGTTGCTCCCAGTATTTGGCTCAGATTACGAGCAGTTCTCTTGTTACAGAACTTTTTAACTTTCAGGCGTCTCCCTGACATGCTCAGTGTTTGAATCATGTTTCAAACTTTCACTACCACAATGATAATCATGCAAGTTTGAGCTACTGTTTTGTGAGGATTTGCTGCTTTTCTGTGTTTCATGTTTTTGGAAACTGAGAATACGATGATATTTACTTTTCCACAGAGGGAATTCATTTTTTTCAGCAGCATGATCCGCTTTTTTTAACTGATTGGAGCGTCCAAACAGACCAGCATCTTGTAAAATATTTCAGCTGATAGTAAATGTATCATACTTATTTATATAAATAATAACCGTAATACTAATTTAGCACGTGTGTGTGTGTGTAGCACATTCATTATGCACGATATTGTAAGCAAGGCATCCCGCCCCAGAACATGAGTGATCACACACACACACACACACACACACACACACACACACACACACACACACACACACACACACACACACACACACACACACACACACACACACACACACACACACACACACACACACACACACACACACACACACACACACACACACACACACACACACACACACACACACACACACACACACACACACACACACACACACACACACACCTGTCCAGCCCTTCCAAAGCATGTTGCCTTCAGGGGCCAACTGAGGAAACTGTGTGTGTGTGCGTGTGTGTGTGTGTGTGTGTGTGTGTGTGTGTGTGAAACAAGTTGTAATGCATAAGGCTGATCTGGTTATGGTGGTTGATGAATGAATATGTGTGAGTGTTGGGCGGTGCAGATTGGAGGTTCAGGTCAGTGAGGTTTTAACCTAAGCGGCACAACACTTCTTGATTTGCTTTGTGTGAACATATCACAGTTGGCAAATATTTATACGTTTTAAAAATCACTGAATCACCGTTAGAGCCAATAGAATCGAGGGGAAGTACCTAAATCCACCTACACGTTACCATTGAGGAGTGAGAGCGATGCGCACGCAGTTTGCCCAAACCGAAAACCGCTCTGAAAAGTGAAAACTAGGCTTATTGCCATAAATATGATGATGGATTATCAGTAATCATTTCAAAGGGACACAGAGACATTGGATTAACCTTCAGCAGCATTTATATGCGTTTTAATGCCATTGAACACAACTTTTGATCAGAAAACAGCAAAGGTAAGACATATTTGCCGTTTTGGCCCCGTAAAGTGAAGTTGTGTGTTGTCTTTGCCAGCCTTCGCTGCTGCGAGTTTTGATCGCTCAGTGATGATACTTATACAATACAGCTTTATTTATAGAGCACTTTAAACCTCCAGACCAAAGTGCTATACAGTCAAATAAACAAAACAAAACATACAAAAGATAACAGCACAGCTCACACACCATAAAACAAGTACAATTTAGACAATAGACAATTTAAAAGC